GAGATGGTCTTCTATTTAATAGCAGAAATGAATTCTGCTTTCTAAAGGTCTTCTCATGGTTCCCACCAGTCTGAATTGTCAACAGGAGTCTTAAAATATTTTATCTTATATTCATGTGCAAAATTCTAACAATTATTTTAAATATTTCAAGAAAATGTCAAAAACTATGGAGATCACTTATTAATTTATTCATCGAGTATTTATTGGATGACTGCCACAGAGAAAATATTCTACCTTCAATTTAGCATTCAGCTATAACACTCCAGAGCAGGAAGCGAAAAGAAAAACACTTTCTTAGTCCCCACTATCTACCAGGATGCAATCTGCTAAAATGCCAACAAAACTAAGTAATAAAAATTTATAAAGGTAATAAGTTCAGACTCTTTTTGAATTTTATGAAAAAATTAAGGGTATTCATAGCCAAGTTTATACAAATGTCAAATCTGAATTCTATCATTGGGTTTGTACCAATGTATATGGTTGTCTGGCGTTTTTATGTTGTTGTTGTTTTTAATGTACCTCTGTGAGTTAACATGTCTCTTCCTCTGACTGCTGTAACCATGTGCCCTATCATCCAGTGAAGCTGGTGGTCACTCGAGCATTGATGATTACTGCAGACATCCTAGCTGGATTTGGATTTGTCACCCTGCTCCTTGGTCTTGACTGTGTGAAATTCCTCCCTGATGAGCCATATGTTAAAATTCGCATCTGCTTTGTTGCTGGAACAACATTACTAATAGCAGGTACTGGATGGGATTAGCAACAGGGATAGAGATACTCACCCAACGACAGCACTCCTTTCCTGTTCTGGAGCAGTTCATTTTAGGGTCATACGTTGTTTGCTTTACTAGATTGAAGGAATAGCAAGCATTCCTACCAGCCCTGCTTCCTACCTTTGGAATCACATAGTTAATCTTCTGTTATTATTCCAAGATAAGGTATGCCAAAGTTTCCCAACTAATTTTTAGCCAGTTAAAAAGATATATAATGCTTTATTTCTTAAAAATAATTTCTTTTGTAATTATTCCTAAAGTTAGATCCTAAAGTTCCAAGCTGTCACCTTCTACTTATGCCTCACCAATTTTTTAATGTAATAAATGAATTGTGCCAAGTCCTA